ATAGTAATTAATAAGGTTTCCCCAATATGGTAACTTAAATTAAGTTCCTTAAATCCCTATATTCCCCCAGTTTCCATTTCATTTTCCATTTTCTTTTCCATTTGATTCTCCATTATAGGGGGATAATCCCTCAATTTCAGTTCCTTAACAGCAACCCAGGAAGGTGACTCTCCCTGCATGCCTTGGCGAGAAGCGCATCTTGCAGATCTGTGAGGCTGAGCTGGACAGGACCAATGGTGACCTCAAGAAGAAGGTGGTAGTTTCCCAAAATAAGGGGACCCCAATGGGTTATATAGGGTTATATTGGGGGAATGGAAAAGAAAATGGAAACTACTATTTAGGGTTTAGGGTTTAGGGTGGTAGTTTCGCAAAATAAGGGGACCCCAACTTAGACCCCAAAATACTATAATCCTTATTGAGACCCCCAAAAAAGGGTACCCCTAATTTTGGGAAACCCCCAGGTTAACCACTGCACAATCGTGGAGGAACAACACAGCGCAGCAGTGAATGACCTCAATTCATGCCTGAAGGCATTAGACGAGCTGCCGGGAGAGATTGAGACAAACATTCCAAGCCAAATATCTGACCAGCAGAACCGGGTGAGCCAGGCAGATTCCAAGGTGTCAATCGCAGAGGGCAAGCTGAGAGCCGCAAGGACAGATGTGCAACTCACATGTATTATGGGCAAAAGCCACTACAGCCCACCTTTCTGCACCCCAATGGACCAGAGTGTGGAGATGTACATCAAGTGCACCGAATGCAAGTCCGCACACAACAGGGAATCCAAAGCGCAGATTGCACTGAAGAAGGCCAAGACTCGACTGACACGAGCTCACTCAGACCTTGAGGCATTGAAGTCAAAGTTGCGAGAGGCGCAGCAGCAGCTCCAGAAATGTGAGGAGACGACCCCTGCCTTGACAGAGGCGAAGAAGGCAATGGATGACAAATGGTTGCCACAAAAAGAGGACTGCCTTGCAGGGCACGAAGATTATATTGCAAAAAAGCGAAGCTTCATCCCAGTTTGCGCTCGCGACAAGTATGAGGACTCCTGTGAGAAAGCCTGCCTTGAGAGACAGCTCAATGGCTTGGGCGGTTGCGGAGTTGTGGAGGGCAATTACCACGGAGAAGCTCATGTCCGTGGTGGCATTGCGTTCCACTGTGCGCCTCCCCAGCCTTCATGGATCATGGGACCGCAACCTTATGCCCAGCGGGAATCCATGTCCAAGCAGTGTGATAGGATTCTGGCGGTCCAGCAGCCGCAATATGCGCAGCGCATCTCAAAGGCGGGCTGGCTATGGAAGAAAGGCAGAGTTTTGCATGGCTGGCACAAGCACTTCGCAGTGTTAGAGTCCTCCGATGCGGTGCGTTCAGCTGTGCTTCGCTTCTATGAGGATGACCCATCCAACAACCAAAACGTTTCAGCTTCTGCGCCGTCCCTAATCCTTTGGGATGCCAAAGGGGTCAAGGCCAAGGAAGCCAAAAAATATGGCTTCAAGAAAGGGGAGTCCTGTTTCAAGCTCTATCATTTCTATGCGGATTACCGTTTTTGCGTTCCAGGTGACGAGGCTACAGGTCAAGCTTCTCCGGAGCGCGAACGGGCCGATTGGATGCAGTTGCTCAACTCCAGCATGATATATTCGGACTGGAAGTAGAGGCGCCTGGAGGGTAGCAGCAGAGAGCTGTGAAAAGAAAGCGCTCTCCGGGGTGCCTTGGGGGTCCCGCGAAATCGAACGACGGTCTTCACTCATCACTAGTCTAGGAGGCAGCCTAAAGACATGAACTGGCCAAAATCATGATTCTCTTGTGCCGGCCAGACAATCCGGCTGCAGCAGTTTGCAGGTTAGGTAGAGAGATCCTCATTTAAGAACCTCCGGCATGTGCAGTCTTACAACTTAGAAGCCTCGAGGTCAGGACGCCACTTTAGCGCCATTTGCTGGATGGCCAAAATCCTGCATGACCCCTTTACTCCAAGCTGGGAACCCTGCTAAGGCACTTTACAGAGGGTTATGCAGGATAGAGTCCAGCAACAGCAAAGGATGTACCAAAGTTTTGTCAGCAGTTACTTGGTTTTAGTTACCCCAACCCCTGTAAGAAGGACCTACAACCATGAATGACTTTGGAGGGTCCTAATTTCAAGGCGTCGTTAAATTATACGACGAACAGTTCAAACCCTAAACTCTTAAAAAAAGGCTAAGCCACCGGGGAGGCTTGGCGCACACCACGCTACTTGTCCTCATCCTCGCCGAGCTTGGGCGCAGGGCACTCAAATGTTGAGAGCGTCGAGGCTGCTTGGGAGGAGCTTGCATTTAGGGCTCGAGGTATAGGGGTTGGGGTTCAGGGTTTAGGGTTTTCGATGCATTCAGTTTAGGGTCCCATGTGCATCAAGGGAGGCGTGCAAGAGCAGTTTCATGAACGAACACTAGATATACATGCATTGCAGGATATTTGTTTGATGAAATTACTGCCTCTTCTGAGTCAGTAAGGCAGTGTAAGTAGGGTCTAAGAGTTATAGCTGGGTTTGAAGTATAAGTATGATTGGGTTCCGCTTATCCGGACCCCAAACCCGAGTAGGGTCAAAGCTACCCTGTACCTTATCCCCATGCCCTAAACCCCAAACCCTAAACCTTAAGCCCTAAACCCTAAGCCCTAAACCCTAAAACCCTGATTAAACCCTGACCGCAAACCCTAAACCCTAAAGCCCTAAACCCAAAGACTTGGTGCGCATAGGCTCCCGGCCACGCCTCCGGCGGAGTGTGGTTTGTCTGTGCTTTGCCTCGGATTTTGGGGCCCCTTAGGCCCCCGTTGGGCTGAGGGCGCCTGGAGGGCTAACAGGGATATGCTGGGGCTCAGGGTTAGAAACGGGTCTAGGGCCTAGGGTCTAGGGATGTGGCTTTAGGAATTCTCGCCTTCTAGCGACTTCTGTTTAGATTTTTATGCAGACCCCTCAAGTTTTGATTTAACATAGGCATACAATTTTTGGTCCCCAAAGCGGGATCCTTGATGGCAGGGGTCCCAAACAAAATGTTGAGAAATTGCTCAGGAATGTGGTCCTTGTTTCAATGTTATGTGCCGTCATGTAGGGCAGATGGTGTTGAGTAGGCTAAAGTGGACAGAAGCCCCTCGTCTGGGCCTCTCCAACAAACCCCAGACCTGCACAACGCCTGCCCACGAAACCCCGAAACCCCAAATCCCTAATCCTGAACCCAGTACCCCCCACCATGAAACCTGAAATTCACTAAATCCCTGAACCTATCAACGTTGCAACCTTGTACCTGTAACATCTACCTCTGAACCCCCCAAATCCTCAAAGACCTAACCTCTTCTTGAACAGTCATGTAACTTAGCAACTACATTTACTTGGGCATATAACCTAACTTATACCTGGGGTAGCCCATATGAATCCAGTTCGGGGGACTATAACTAAGGCCCGAAGCCCAAATATACATAATTAGTAAGCCCCATGAACCTAAACCCTAAACCCCATGAGAGCCTGAACCCTAAACCCCATGAGCCTGAACCCTAAACTCTAAACCCCAATGAACCTTCAACCATCAAGCCTAAAACCCTAAACCCTGAACCCTAAACTTCATTCTGAGGTTCCTTGCCGCCCAGCGAGCTGGAGAGGGTCGCGTAGGGGGCGCGGAGGCCGCAGCACCTCCTCATCAGACTCGCGGCCCCCAGCCCGCCCCCAGGCTAGTCATCATACTATAGTCAGTCCCCCTTAAGTAGATAGAATATGGCTTTGGGTATCTTATAATAAGATCCCCATATACCCCATATTCTATCTACTGAAGGCAGACAAATTATAATTAAGAAAAACATGGGCATCGCCCGAAAACCCCATGTGGAACATTTTATGTAAAACAACCACGGCTGGCTTAAAGACTTTCCGCGAAAGGTCGCGATGGTGCTCGCGAAAGGAACTTTGGATTTCGCGAAAGAAGCATCGTAAAGGGAACTATACTTACTTTCAAAAACATTTTCTTCTTGCAGTCCGCAGGCATGCTTCCAGGCATGCTTCCAGGCATGCTCAAAGCTGAAAGGATCGCAAGTCTTTCTGTGGCACAGCCTCAGTCTCAGAATTCTTACCTGAAAATCCGCGAAAGATCCGCGAAAGAACCGCGAAAGGTCCGCGAAAGGTCGCGTAGGCCCGGCAAGCCCCCAGCATTGCAAGCCATGGGAGACGACATAGCTTCTGCAGTTCGGTGTTGGAGTTTAGGGCTTGGG